TGAAAAAGGATGAGTTTTCAAGCCAGGGAAAATCAGGAAGACCTCTGAGTCTGTTTGCATATCTTCAAACTGGAATCTCAAAGAGCCACAGTGTGCATTAAAGAAAATGGTGCATATAAAATACTAATGCCAGCATCTAGCACATAGCACATTCCTCCAAAAAGATAACAGTCTTTCTTTTTGATAGTGGTTGTGAAACTGGAAAGAAGAACAGGGAATCTATGAAGGACAGTCATACAGTCACAGGTCTTGGTGGTTAATTGATTGTATGGAGTGGAGGAGGGAGGGTCAGGAGTGGCATTAGTTCCTAACTTTCCAGCAAGAGAGAGGAAGACATTTAATGGAGTTAGGGAAACGTTCAATGTCTGGATGGACTGTTGAAACTAGAAGACATGGCATTTTGTCCTGGGCATTTGGGACTTAGCAAATTTTGGGGACATCCTGGGACAGATTTCCAAAGGTTGGTTGTTCATCGGGGTCAAGAGCTGAGAAGAACAATCTTTCAGTGGCTGATTGGCATTCACCATTGTATAAATGTTACCTGAAACTAGAGAGGAGAAACTCACCCACAGCTCATAGTGAAAGTAGCAGCCGGGCAAAGGGTAGAAGCCTGAGGGACATCAGCACTTTAGGGAAATAGAGGGAGTGAGGAGTCCAGGCAGCGATGCAGACCTCTTGAAGAGGCTGAGACATAAGGCAATGGCGAGAGGTAAGTTGAAGAGGAAAGTGTTGGGTATGTTAGAGGAAGAGTTGACCATGATAAATGCTGATGGGAAGGTGCCCATGAGAAGGATGGAAGGAAGAAAGGTATTCTGGAAGGGAAGAGAAGAGTTAAGAGGAGGGAGCGACATGAAGACCCGTGGAAAGCACCTGTGTGGTTGCAGCTAAATTTTTAGGTGTAGTGGTTGGAACTTGGCCTGATGGCTTCCTTTCTTCTCTCCCCTTAGTAAAGTAGTATATATGTTTAGATAAGTGGTTCTCAAAGTGGCACCTGGGAACCCCTGGGTCCCTTCCAGATTTGTACAACAGTGCCTTCCACAGACTAATGTGTGATGATGATGTCACTGCTGTAGCTACTAATAGAATGTGTGCTCATATGTTCTTGTGTTTCCTAGAATTTTCTGAGATTTATGTGCACTTTTGGAGATTAACTCATTTTTTTTCTTGGTGCTCCTACTTATTTTCTTCAGTTATACCTGCTATAACATCAGTGACCCCCATCATCTTATAAGTGGTTATTTTGAAATCCCCAAGTTTTCTTTGAATCTATGCAGAAACACAAGAAGTATACTTGGTGGTCTTGTTTAGCACTGATGTTTAATTTTTTTTGGACAATGTTCATACTCCAAGATTTTACCCAAAACAGCTGTAATTTTAGAATTTTATATTTTATTTTAAAGAAAATATTATTTGCCATAGATTTTTCTTGTATTTAAGAATGAATTGCTGGGCTTGGTGGTGAATGCCCGTAATCCTAGAAACTCTGGAGGATGAGGCAGGAGGATTGTAAGTTCAAGGCCCAAAGCAACTTAGTGAGACCCTGTCTCAAAATGAAAAATCAAAAGGACTGGGGATGTGGCTCATTGGTTAAATACCCTGGGTTCAATTTCCGGTACCAAAAGAAAAAAAAAAAAAGATGGATTGTTGCCTTTTAAAAAGGAGACAAGAAGACTCACTTTCTTACCCTGTAACTATACTATCTACTTTTAATGGTAATTTTTTTTTGTACTGGGGATTAAACTCAGGGGTGCTTTATCAATGAGCTACATCCCCAGGTGTTTTTATATCTTATTTTGAGACAGGTTCTTCCTGAGTTGCTGAAGCTGGCCTTGAACTTGTGGTCCTCCTCTCTCAACCTCCAAATTCCTTGGGATTTCAGGTGTGTGAGCACCTGACTAATGGTAATAATTTTTTTAAAAGATGAAAATGATGTATTGAAGAGTTCTTTGATTCATAAAAGGGAGAAATAATTATTAAAAACTGGATAAAAACTGTTAATAAGAAAGAAGATATGTATGTCAAAAGTTATCTTTTCCACAACTTTATTAACATTGATAATTTACCTTAATTTTCTTACATAGACACCATTTTTGGATAGTATTATTCTTTCATTTATGCAATGATTTTTTTATTTCAAGCACTGGGGTTTGAACCCAGAATCTGACACAGGTTAAACAACGGTTCTACTGCTGAACTCTATCCCCAGCCCTTTACTGAGACCAATCAGCCCTTTGAGACCAATCATTCAAAGTTTAAAGGAAGGAATTGAACTTTTAAAACAAACATGGTGCATTCTTTAAATATTTAAAAATTTCTAAAACTTTCAGAGTTAAAATGAAAGCTCCACTACAGCTCTTTGTTGTCATGCTACATTGATAACTGAGAGAGTAAGAAAGCCCTGAATAGTCACATGACTGGAAACCTACTGGAAGAAAGTCGGTAGAGAAGTCACGAGGGTGCTATTTTCCAGTGATATAGGAACTCATCTAAAATTTAGTTAATAAATCATCTACAAATACATAGAGATCATCCGTCCTCTTTGAAAATGGACAAATACATAGAGATACCTTCTTTTGCTTATATCCATTTAGAATTTGTACTAATCATCATTCCTAATCATCAAAGAAGGTTATTTTATGTGACTGACAACAAACACAAGGGTTGTTCATTTCAAGTGTACAGTGCCTTTTTAATTCTTGTGCTTTATTCTGTAACAACTTTATTGACATTTTTATTGATAGTGCAAAAGCAATGGTCAGTACAATCACTCACAACCTTTAAATACATCAAGGCAGAGGCACTAAACTTTATTTGTAGTCATTAGAGTGTCTGCAACTCCCCACCACCAGCACCACTCATGACCACACAAGGCCTATTTCACTTAAAAAATGTGCTCAATAAGGCAGTAAAAGTAATTGATGATATTCAGTTTTAACCTTAAGTGTTTAACATATAATCCTTTAAATATTCTGTATGGTGAAATGAGAAATGTGCAAAAAAATGATTCTGCTGCATACTAAAGACTTTTATGATGAGATGGGTGGTGATATTAACAAATATGATATTTGATGATATATGAAGAGGGTCAAAATTCATTCATTTTGAATGAATATTTTACCCCTGTATAGTTTTGCAACACGATCTTCTGGTTATGGGAAGGATATTGGGTTGTACTTCTGCCTGGCTGAAGTGAATGATGCTGTGGTGAACACCAGGTATCTACAGGGTACTTGGGCTCCAGATGTTGACACGACTCCATCTCCATGCCGAAAATGGTTTTTGATTGTAAATTCACTACCCGATTGAGTGGACAGGGAGGGAGAGGTGGTCACTTCTGGTCAGCCTCCCAGCTCTAGATCTCTCAGAAACAGCAGAGGGAAGCTGAAAATAGACCAAAATCACTTACAGCAGAGAGTTCCCTGTCTGAAAAGAAGACTCAAACCTGCATTGAATGCTAACCATGTGTTGAGGAGGAAATGGGGGGAAGTTTCTTGAATTATAATCATGAAAATAGTGACAATTTTATTTTCTGCAACTTCTCAGGAAAACGTGAACTTTAAGGAATTCCAGGGGCCAGGGATGTGGCTCAGTGGTAGACAGCTTGTCTTTTATGTACTAGGCCCTGGGTTCAATCCACAACACCATCAAAATAAATAAAGGAAAAAACCCAACTCTGCCATGTTAAGGCAAAAGCTCAGCAGGAGACCTTAGTAAGGAAGAGATTTGTATTATTTTAAAAGAGGGTTAATTTATGTAGATTATATTCACATTTCCACTATAATAAAACTTTCTAAATTCAAGCTTGAATTTAGAAAAAAAAACAGGTTTTTTTTTTTTTCACTGTTGAGTTATAAGTTAGGATCACTCAGAAAAATGGGTCTGTGTGGCTGAGGTGACAGAGACCAATCTCTCAAGGAGCACAAAAGTCCCCTTCCCCAGACTATAACCTGATGTTCTTTACTCCCCAGATTGCTGATTAAATAAATCATCCCTGCTGAAAGCTAGTCTTTAAGGAAATATTATTTCACTTGTGGACTGACTACAGAGTCTATTATCCCATGATTGTAGTTGGCATTCCTAATAAAACTAGTCGTACACAGAAGTCAATGATTCAGCTGGGCATGGTGAATGATGCTGCAGTGAACACCAGGTGTCTGCAGGGTACTTGGGCTCCAGATGTTGATGCACTCCTGTAATCCTAGAGGCTGAGGCAGGAGGATTTAGAGTTCAAAGCCAGCCCAGCAAAAGCAAGGTACTAAGCAACTCAGTGAGACCCTGTCTCTAAATAGAATACAAAATAGGGCTGGGGATGTGGCTCAGTGTTTGAGTGCCCCTGAGTTCAATCCCCAGTACCGAAAAATGAAGAAAGGCAATGATTCAAAACCAATTTTCCTAGGAAATACACCTTCAAAGAGGAAAAGTACTGTCTATTTGAACCATTAGACTGACTTGCACTGACTTCATTTAGCCCATCATTTCAGCCTTAGAGAAAGTAAGTATTACTGAAAAGTCAACTTTCTTGTTACACTTTTCTGGAGCTATTTTCCTTGTCACATGATAAGTATGGTTATTTTATAATACAGCGGGATTAAACTCAGGGGTGCTTTATCAATGAGCTACATCCCCAGGTGTTTTTATATCTTATTTTGAGACAGGTTCTTCCTGAGTTGCTGAAGCTGGCCTTGAACTTGATGTCTTTCTGGCTCAGCCTCCCAAACCACTGTGATTACAGACATGCCCCATAAGGCCTGACCCAAAATAGGTTCTAAATCCAGCATGGCTATTTATTAACTAGGTGGTTTTGGACAAGTACCCCCACACACACACCCCTGACCCTCAGCTTACCTTCTATAAAATCCAGCACTTGGACTAGACTAGTCTATTTCTTTCAGCTCTCACATTCTGTGAATTAATTACATCACTTGGCCATTGTATCCATTCTACTTTTTATTTGGTATCTGTTCATTTGATACATATTTACATATATAAAATCTGTACATAGTAAAATACAAAATAAGTATTTCTTTATAAGTTATATGATTAAACAGCTACCTTTTTAAAGTTGGAAAAACCATTGGAAAAAAATGAGAGCGAGAGAGGGAGAGATATCTATCTAGTGCTTTATAGCATTCATAATAACCTTGGTATAAAATATCCATACAAAACATATGTACAAAATAGTGTACAGTTCATAGAAGCTGTGCAAAGACAGCAAAGTTCAGTTAAAAAAAAAAGAAAAGAAAAGAAAAAAGAAAGAAAAAAAAAACATCAAAGAGGCTTATGGATATCACTGTCTGTGCACATCATACTCAGGATCTCTGCAGCTCAGTGACACCTCTCCAGAAATAATAAAAGGGCACAAGGCAGAGTGCTTGGTGCATATATTATGGATGTACAAATTTAAAAGAAAAGGCATTAAAACACACATAACAAAATACAGACTCTTCCCCCACTTTGGAGAATTCATTTCTTTCTCCCATAGAGCATTTGGAAATAAAAGACTCAGTATTTTCATTTCCCTTAGTCAGAGGCACATTCTTTTTTGAAATTCTTGTGCTTTCTAAGAAAACTATTAAGGGAAGAGTGGTGGGAGTGGGGGTCATGCCCCTTCAGGAGGATTGGAGGCCCTTGCTACTTAGCACAGAGAAGTGAGGGGATCTTGGAATTAGTCATGTGCTTGGTGTTTGGACCCCTAACTCAGTTTCCTCTTTTATAAAAAGATTTCCTACTGCATAGGGCTGGGTAGCTAAAGAGCAGCAAGGCTGGGTTCACAATTCACTCCAATTCACTCCAGGCTGTGGAGTGAATTGGAAACCTCACCTCCCTCCAGTATTGGATAAGCAAGATGTTATGAAAAGTCAACTTTCTTGTTACGCCCTGTAGAAAAGTTAAGACTGGGATCTGAATTTCTGTGGGGACGCTGTTTGGAGGTGGTGTAGAGGAAGGAAATGTCTCTTTGGGACAACAGAAGGAGCAGTAGCACCCGGATGAGGTGATGGTTCTGCAGCCCGGGCCACAGCGTTGCAGGCAGATAGGATCCCACCTCTTCAATTTCAAAGCACTTAGAAACGGTACACGGATGGGGGCGAGAGGGGGCAATTCTAGGACACGGTGATTTCCTCTTCCTCCTCAACCTCCTCATCCTCCTCGGAGTCTGAGAAGTCCGAAGGTTTGCCAGGGCTAGTAGAGTGCGCTGGGGAAGCCGGCAGTGGCCCTTGGAGCCGCGGATCCCGCACATGCCGGGGGTCGGGAGGCACGTGATAGGCCAGGCGGTGACGGGGGCTGCCAGGGCGCTCGTCCTCCTCCTCGTCGTCCCCGTGGCTCTTCTGGCCCACGTCGCTGAGGTCCGGGTGCGGATTGAGTTTGGTGGGAAGGGTCTGCTCACGGCAGCCTCCGCTAGATAGGAGTTCGCGTTCCTTGGAGTTCCTCCATTTCATGCGTCGGTTCTGGAACCAGATTTTCACCTGGGGCACCGGGGCGAGCGAGAAGCTGGGTCAGTGGTGGTGGGATGGGGGCGAGGGATGCGCGCGAGGGAGGTTGCCAGCAGGGCGCACAGGGAGGACCCGGGAGGGCTCTCTTTCTCCGCCTCGCCCTCTTCCCACTTCCCGAAGTGATTTCCGACAGGTTACAGCATTTGCTCCACACCCACCCTGACAGCCCGTCTCTCTTGCCCCATCCTCTGGCACCTAGCCCAGAAGGGCGGGGGTGGGGGACTCTGAGCCTAGACAGATGGATCCGGGGTTGGGAGCGAGCGGTCCTGGGGAGCCTGCGGAAGCCAGCTCCTGCATTTATTGCTTCCCCGGGCCTCATTTCTCCCAGTTGCACTTTTTCCTAAGCACTTTCAGAGATCCCGCCCAATTGATTGACACGGGGGCAGGGTGGGGTGGGGATCGCGGGGAAAGCGGCTGTGGAGAGACTGCCCTCACCTGCGAGTCCTTCAAGCCCAACTTGGCCGCCAGCTTCTTGCGGTCAGGCTTGCTAATGTACTTCTGCTTCTGGAACATCTTCTCGAGCGCCTTGCGCTGCACGTCGGAGAACACGGCTCGGCGCAGCATGCCCCTGCGAGGCTTTCCTCGAGCCGCCAGCGGCCAGGAGAAGGTCCCGGGGATAGGCACGACGCTAGAGGACGCTGCAGGGTGGGAAGGCGGCGAGTGAGTGGCGGGTGTCCCGCGGGGACTGGTTAGAGTCCGCCCCTCCTTCGCGGTTTTCCCTGTGTTGTTCTCTCTCAACCCTGCGTCTCTTTAAAGCACTCCTTTTTCTCCCCCTGGAGAATAGACCAGGAACCTACAAACCTGCAAGAGTGAAAGGCTCTTTCCGCCCAAATAGCTTTCCCTTTCAACCGTGCAAACCCGGATTAAGAAAAACCACGAAAATAGACCTGTTGCTTTTTCCCCAAAGATCTCAGGGAAACAAACCTGCGTAGACCCGTTAAAATAGCAACAGGAAGAATAAATTACAAAAATAAAATATCCAGCTGAGGCCACTCACTTTCTTCCCTAAGCTTGTATCATCTTGGTGGCTTTTGGCATTCTTTAGATGAAAATGAAGTACTTTGCTGGTGTAACAGAAAAGGGAAAATCCGCCTTGAATTTTTTGTTGTTGTTGTTTTTGTTGAAAAATCCAATCAGTATTCATCTTTTTTATATTAATCTTTCCTCCCCTCCCCCACAAAATGTAAAGAATTCGGCCCGAATACATGAAAAGTGGCAGCTAATTAGCACATTGACCGCTTCCCAATGGGTATTGGCATGATAAAAAGAAGGAGAGTTTCGCTTTAAGGGAGAAAAAAAGAAAAACAAAAAGAAACAGAGACTCTAATGAAGCGTGAATGGTAATTGTGTAGTAATGAACTAACAGAAAAAGACTGTGGACAAGCAGCGAAAGCCATATATTACTGGGACAAAAGAGATTTACACTTTCAAACTAAACACAACTGCAGGCCAAGACCATTGGGAGAATACTGATGGCAGAGGCTTCTCTTCCCCGAATCGTTCTCATTAAATGGACATGAAAAGCTATTTATAAAGCTCGGGTTGTTTTTGTTAGAGCATTGAGATGAGTGAGAAAGGGAGCAAATTCCATTATCAGCAGGAGCATGAATGTTTGGGGGGCTGCGTTTGGTGAATTTTCCCTCTTTAAAAAAATCAATTGCTCGTTTCTTCTGCAGATATTTGGAAGTGCTGTCCTGGTTTTACCATCCCCCACCGTGCTCAGTCTTCTCCCTGGTCTCCTCTGAGTTTTGACCAGTTGCAGAGTATGAGCCATAGTGGAAAGTGTTAAGTGTTTCCCTTTAGATGGGGGCCCAATTCGGACCTGGCTGCAACGGTTTCTTGCTTTACAAGCTCAGCGCCCTTTAAAAAGATATGGCGGTGGGGGGTGAAAGGGTATGAGAGGGGTTGGGAAATCAGGTTGGAAATAGATGGTGGGGGTAGGAGGAGGATCTAGCCTCCCTCCCCTTGGGCGACCCCCGCCATCCCACACAAGAGGGCACCCCATGTGGTCTTGTGAAAAGCCCAAGTCCTGAATGAATCTTAAAGAGAAATTAGCCCCGGCTGGTAGGTGTCTCTCGACGGCGTGGAGGGGCTAGGGCCGGTCTGTGTGTGGCTGCCCGGAGGAGCTGACCAATTGGTCATGGTGCTGAAACCTTTGTGGAGAATCGTGGCCAAGTGCACTGACTCTGTGGGAAAACGGCGGCGTGAAGGGATGCCAACAGCTCCTCTCCGGGAAGGGAACCGCCTCAAATTGGGACCATGACAATTCTTGCTAATTTGTAGAGCAGGGAATTGGTGCAAAGTGTCAAGCAGTCACTGCTTGTGCTAAATAGGGCATCAAATTGGCGCGACGGATTCGTGAATGTTGTACGCCTCGCAACCTCTGAACCAGAGCGTAACCCCGAGGGGTGGACGGAGAAATATGGCTTCGGGGCAGGGAGCGACGGGCCAGGGCTGGGGCGACCGCGCAGAAGGAAGGGAAAGAGACCAACCTGGGAAATAAGAAGATCTGATGAAAGGTTGGAAGGAGCCTTCAAAGTAGGGAAAGGCGAACGTCTTGGGAGGGAGGCTCTGGAGCAAAGTGGGGGATGTCTCTGGGAGAGAAGAAGAGGAGAATTTGATTATGGTACAGCATATCGAAAACGTGATATGATTAACACTTCAGTTAATTTCAAAAGGCATCTTTTAAAATGTATTGATAGTAAAATAAATCTTTCTAACATTATTTCATCTGGGAGAAATCCTTCCTTTCCCGCTAAATTAATACTCTGCACCCCCCACCTCTCGCTCATTCTCAGTCCTAGACATTAGGAGGTAGGACTGGAGGAAGGAAGAAAGAAATTGCAGACCATAATACTAGCTAATCCAATAAGCATAACGTCTTGGGTTAAAAAAAAAAAAAGCCTGTTTTCTAGAAGTTCGGGGACAGGAACGCAGACGCCAAGGGGCGTGCACTCTGAGGTGTAGCGCCAGATAACTGCGCGCTCTGCGATTGCAACTGCTCAAATTTGTTCAGAGGGTGGGCCCAGTCCGAGGCTTTTCTTCCAGGAATTATCTGAACCTAACTTGCGTACTGGCCGACCAGGGTGGATCGGGATACCTGCGTACCGACGTGCACTGGTGTGTGCGCGGTACTCGCTTCATAAAAGAAACTAAGGCCTGGCGGACTCTGCGAATGCCTTGCACCTGGACAGGGCCCTCAGCGTTCCACCTTCACTTACCTGTTCTGGGCGCCGAGGAGAGGATGGCATTCACCCCAAACTTCAGAAACGTGGGCTCGCTGGCAGGGGAGAGGGTAGTCTGCGGAGAACTGCCCCTCCGGCTGCCGGGACCCGGGGAGCCCAGGTCCGAAGTCCCAGAGTCAGGAACCGCTGCTGGGGCCCCTTGCCTGGGCGGGGACATGCTAGCTGTGGGCACGCTGCGGGGCAGGTAGGCGGGGGGCCGGCTGATGCGGATCAGATCTTCCACTAGGAAGCTAGTGTGCCCCGAAAATGCCGATTGAAGGGACTGGGGCAGTGTCAGGGTGGGCGTGGGCCGCAGGAGGCTAGGATACCCCGCCGGGGGCGCGAGGAGCCCCGGGAACATCATGGTAGGTGTGGGGCGGGAGAAATAACCCTTCTTCCAGTGGCCGGAGGGTAAAAGCCTCGCGTCCCGCCCCTCCCGTTCCCGAGGAGCCCTCTCTTGGGCTTAGCAAATGTCTTCAAGTAAGGATCCCACTTGGGCGTCTGCGAGTCCTCCGTAGTCCTCCCGTCGAGGTGATGGTTTTATAGTGGCTCGCTTGCTAACGCGCTTTGAAAAGTGACAGCTTTGACAATGAAGTTCAACAAAGTTCTCCACTCAAGCTTCATTCGTTGGAGGCTCTGAGCTCTCTGATTGGCGCAGAGGTGCAATTTATGATTGGATTAGTCTTCATAAGCATGGCCAGCACAATGGGCCGGCAACAAAGGCCCTAGCGCATCAATTCTGCATATCGACCGCCTCTTTGCAATACAGTGTGCAACCAAAGCTCTTACCGGGGGTTTTTGTTCGGAAGCAACACCCGGGCTAATTAAATGCCTATTTAGAAGTTTCAGATGACATCTTGCCTCATAGAAAAGGAATTATTTAAAGAATGCACTAAATTTATTTGCAGCTCCCCTGCTGAGTCTGGAAAATAAATCAATAAATATTCATGGAAATGCATCTCCAGGCTATCAGTAAAATAACTCTCTCCCGTGTGTGTGTGTGTGTGTGTGTGTGTGTGTGTGTGT